CTGAGGATCTTATTGAAACAGCTTTAATGGACCTAAAAAAGTACGCAGGCACAGGATTTATTTTAACGTGCAGTTCTACACAAAATGTGTAGTCCTAAACCCATTTGTGCAGTTCTTAAAACTCAAATGTGCAGTCACCAAATTAACAAAAATATAACCTCAAAACAGTCTTCTCATTTACTCGTTTCCCTTGTGGACGCTCCAGATGCCAGAAATGCTGTCATAATATCATTGAGCATCAAAACAGGGCGTAGGAACCGGGGGCAAGGGAGCCAAGCCCCCCTCATGTTTTTAGAAGACATAAAAAGTGCCATTTGCCTTCGTGAAAACTGTTGTTCAGATTACATTTTTGACCGCTCACGGATGTCGCAAAGCAACTTTTATATAATACCTTATTAAATTCTAATCGTTTAATTGGCTGTTTATGGTCACGTGATATTGAATAGAAAATTCCATTTCCCAAGAGTGCAATGGAACACGTTCCATTGCACTCTCCGCGAGTGCAATGGAATAAAACGTATAGTACAATTGCACTCGTTGTGTTTTCGATAAATCGCATCTTTCAAAATGCTTCTCATACGAATCTATTAGTCTATTTTGGTATTATATAAAACAAATAATGAATGTTTCTTCGTGCAATGGTAAGAATATTTTCATTCGGTGAAAGATGAAATGTTCCATTCAACTCGGCTGTCGCCTCGTTGTATACTGTGAGTCTTTGTGGTTACTTGAGTGTGGGGCAGTTAAACAATGAGAAATGACAAGCCTGCTTGACGAGCACTGTTTGCCAGCATATTGGGCCTTTCAGAACCAGAAATCGGGCTGTAGCTAGGCCTTGACCGATTGTGCTCGTAAAATGCCAAAAAGTTGCCAGTTAAAATGCCAAAAGTTGCTGCGTAAAATGCCAAAAGTTGCTAAAATGTTGCCAAAAATACAAAAAGTTTCTCCTAAACTTCAAAAGTTACACCTACTTGTTACCCAAATTTCACGTTATTTTCACGCATACTTAATTAAAGCGTCTATATTTTTTAATAAGTGCCAAATAATACCTCCCAAGAGTCAAGATAAATTTCTTGAAATTTGAACATGAAAAAGTTTTTAATAAATCGTTCGCATCAACATATTTAAAAAACAACTTTTACTATAAAACAATAACTGTAAATTTGCTCTCTGTTTCTGATAAATGATAGACCTTATGCATAATGACGTCACAAGGCTTGATGCCCGCGACGAATGCTGGTCTTATATTATTAATTAGTAGTCATCGCCCGAGAAAATTAAACAATTCAAAATGGCCACTATCGAAATTTCCCCGGGCGATTACTACCAAGACCAGCATTCTTCGCGGGCATCAAGCCTTGTGACGTCATTATGCATAAAGTCTATTAGCAATTTAAATTTTTAAAAATGAGGACGCCATCTTGTTTTTATGGTTGAACACATGCACAGAGAACCCAAGTACGTAATACTAAGTTAAGGGCCATCAGCCGCAACACGCGGTCGTAACGTGAGGGGGTCGTAACGTGAGGGGTCGTAACGTGAGGGGGTCGTAACGTGAGGGGTCGTAACGTGAGGGGGTCGTAACGTGATGGGCTCCTGTGGCTAATCATCATGAAATAAACATTAGAAAGTGTTTTCATTATCAAAAATTTTTATTTTGGCTTAATTTTGCTAAAATTTGCTAAAAAAATGCTCTGAAAAGTAAATGTTGCTTGAAGTGAAAAAAGCTGCTCCGAAAGCAAAAAGTTGCTAAAAAGTTGCCGAGCACAATCTGTCAAGGCCTAGCTGTAGCAGGACAAATGGCAAAATTTGCACAGTGCTTGTTTGCAAAAACAACTGCAAACTGCTTTACTCTTTCTGTCACTTTCATTTCATCTCATCCATGAGTCGCCCTCAATGGCCTTTCATTTATGATTGTATTTAATTTCCTTTCCGGGAAAAATTTTTTAGAGAAAACATTTCCGGGAAAAATTTTTTAGATGCCCTTTTCATTACAAAAGCGCCCCTCGAAACCGGTCTTCCCCCAACTTTTTGATGCTTCCTACGCCCCTGATCAAAAATCTAAATGTTTTCTGGGAGAGGATCACCAGACCCTCGTAGTTTCCTCACAAATCACATACGTGCTGGGGTGATGGAACAGGAGGTAAAATTGGGGCGAGTGAAGCTATCCAAAAGAGATTAGAGTGGGAGAACTTAATATTCTTTGCTGACTAAGGTTATTATATTTTGAGTATTGCAATTTGGGAGCACACCCCCTACCTGTAGCTCCTCCACCCAGCATCGAGTTTGTCTGGGCCACACCTAACCACATCTTTATTCTGCCAGCTATATATAAATTAAGAGTCTACATTAACTATAAATTTACAACATTAAATATAGATCAAAATTCTTTGACCCCCCCCGGCCCCCATTCAAACACGTGATGCTTCGTAACATCCCTAGCTAATATGTGCAGTTCTAAATTTTTCTTTTGGTAGGGATACAACTACATACCTGAAAAATATAAGGAGAATTTTGATGTTTCGAGCGATGGCCCTTCGAAATTCTCCTTATATTTTTCAGGTAGTTAGATCCCTATACCAGCGAAAGGTTGTTCATATTAGTGGCAATACCTACACTAGCTGGCACAGTACTAGCCTGCATGGCAAGCGGTTCCTAAAATTGGGCAAGCCTGGGTATTTTAGACCGCCTGCCATTCAGGCTAGCACAGTACTAGTTCAAGATTGTAATGGAATAAGGCCTGTATTGTAATGGAACAACGGTTTTAAAACGTCGAAAAAGACAGCCAATGAGATTGGGAATTCGTCATTTGAAACGCCATCAAAAACGTCGAGCGCGGGTCCAGCATTGTCTCATTCAAAAATTGAAAAAAATTGCAAAAACTTTTCGTATTTTTCTCGCATTACAAATTTGTTTTGTACATTAAAATATTGTTAGTATATAGTAAAAGTATCGCAGATTTTATTTCCGTAATTATTTTAGCATAGTCGTAAAGATATTTGAAGTATTTTGGATTGTTTGAAGGTATATGTATCGTTAGTTTGATTGTATTTGCCTATTTTAGGAAATAATACAACTATACAAGTCATACAATGCCTCGCCCGCGCGCAGGCCGGCAACCATAACCGATTGGGCTGCCTATGCTATTATGCTCGAATTATGCTCAAGGAATGCTCAAGGTATGCTCAAGGTACAAAAACTCAAAAAGTCGTATACATTTTAGCTAGATCTGACTAGAAGGTCAATACAGTCTAGCATTCACAACTAAATTAGTTCCTTCTACTTCTTGCCTTACCGGCTTCAGATTCTTCATCGTCTATAACCGTATGCTTTCAATTTTTCCGAGCCTTTCATTGTGTAAATTATTGTCTTCATCATCATCCTCGTACCCAGGAACCTGGCGATCTAACCACCCCCACCCCCCCAACCAGTGAACTCTGGGGCCTCTGGACACTAACCGAACTCCCTCTCTTTAGTCTCGTTCCATTATTTTTATTTCTTTAGACTCAGCCTCAAAGCCAATGCATTATTTTATTATTTTTGAAATCTTTGCTCGAAAACGGCCTATTATGCTCCTAAAGCCCTATTATGCTCGAAATTATGCCGACAATGCGACATAACTTACCCAAGCCTAGCAATAATGAATAATTTTGATCTATATACAAGACGGACGAAATCCAACACCACATCTAGAAAGAGAATCTTAAAATGAGTAAAATTGCAAAGTTTGTTTGCGAAATGTTGTAAAATGAGGAAAATATAGCTCTGTGAAGTTCGCAAATTTTGTATATATTTGTATTACGCGCGGGAAAAATAACCGCTTTCGGCTCAAAAATGGTTGTTTTTCCCGCGCGTAATACAAATATATACAAAATTTGCGAACTTCACAGAGCTATATTTTCCTCATTTTACAACATTTCGCAACCAAACTTTGCAATTTTACTCATTTTAAGATTCTCTTTCTAGATGCGGTGTTGGATTTCGGCCGTCTTGTCTGTAGATCAAAGTTTTGTCCATAGTTGGGATCACCCATTGGTGATTGTATCAATATATAAAAACGATATACAAAAAAAACCCAAAACGGTCAAGTACTTTGGCAACGACAAAATGGCCGCCAAAATGTTTAAGGGCACCCCATGCATAACGCTTTTGAAATTAATAAAAAAGTATAAAAAACCCTTTCGTATTTGTAGGGCGATTAGGGGTGTGTTGGCGAGCCGGTAAGTATATATTCGTATACCACCACCAATAATCCTGTATCTGCTACTTATTCAACATATAATTAATTAAGTTACATTCTTGTCAAATGAACAAGTAGTACTGTTAAGCGATGTTGGTTTAAAGTCTTGGTGTATGAGTATGAATGAAGTCGATACATGACAAACAGTTAAACATGGATCGACTGAAGCTAAAAACCATTAAATTACAACTGGTTTATGACATGGCTCAATTTGCACAAACTTTTGTCCCAATTCTCATTATTCTAGAGAAACAATTGTGTTTAATTTTGATACAAATTAATAACCAAATATTTCAGAACATGATGTTCGTGGTGTTACTGTGAGTGTGCATCCACACCGGGCAAGCTGAAACGTTTGCCTCACCACCGTGGTCAGGAAAACTTTTCAGCTTGCCCAGTGTGAATGCACACTTACAGTAACACCACGAAGAATCATATTCACCGGCTGAGTACATAACACCAACAAACACAAAAAGTATTTCAGAACATATTACTAATTCTCAAATTTCTGAATTACAGGGCCCACCTGGCGAGGACGGAAATGATTATCTACCTGGACAAAAAGTAAGGCTTATACTGGAACATGACTAATATCTGCGGCTGGACATCTGATTTTCGATCAAATGCTCAATTAGTCGGACGTTTCGTTGGAGCAAAACAGAGATTTAATGCGAAATTTAATGTATTTTTCTACTACAGAAGCGTTTTCGCCCGCGATGCATTTTTACAAAGCCCTATTCTTTAAGCTGGGGTAATACGAGCAACAAAATAGCTGCAACTGGCAACAAAATCTGATTTCTACGCATGTTAAACAGAAATGTTGACACATGTTGCCTCGTGATTTGTAATATATGTTAAACATTTTCAATTAACATGCGTAGAAATCAGATTTTGTTGCAAGTTGCAGCAATTTTGTTGCTCGTATTACTGCAGCTTTACTCTTATCGCAGACTTTTGAGAAATTAAATATATAAATGAATGTGCAGTCGAACCTCTAATAAACGCACACTCCCCCGAGCACCTCCAATCAGTGGACGCTTATTGAAGTTCCTGAACGACACGCCATTAAATTCCTTTACCTCCATCGCAAGCCAGAATCTCACACGTATAAATAACTGATAAAGTAACAAATTTATATTATTCCCACTGATGAAAATCCGGGCTTATAGGATGGATCGAAATCTATGCTAAATGAACACACGTGCATGGTGCTTCCACAAAACAAAACAATTCTATGATCTGCGAATTGATAGGGATACAAGTACACACGTAAAAATCTCACATTTTGTAACAAGTCTGCCAACAAGCCGTCAACAAGTTGTGCTCTCACTGCTTGTCACAAGTTGTCAACAGGTTTGGAACAACTTGTTGACAACTTGTAACAACCTTGTCGCAATTATTAGACTTGTTGCAAGGTTGTTCTGACAAGTCCGTTACATGCTTGATATAACAAGATTGTTACAACCTTGTGTTGACAACCTTGTAACATCCTTGTTATATAATGGCTGTAACAAACTTGTTAGCACAGTCTTGTAACAAGGTTGATAATGCCATCGAGTTTGTTACAAGTTGTTAACAGCTTGCTTCCAACTTGGCAACAACTAGGAACATGCAGTGCAAACACAACTTGTCGACAGCTTGTGAACAGATTTGTAACAACTTGTTTGCAGACTTGTTACAACTTGTGCGTTTTTACGTGTGTATACATGAAAAATACAAGGAGAGCCAGCAGCTTTAATGGACCTATTCCCTAATGAACAAAATTTTGATCTAGACATTTCTGGACGGAAATTTCATCACAGCTTGAAAGAGCATCACAAAATTAGTAATATTCCGAAGTTTCGTTTGGAAATGTTGTAAAATGCGGATAATATAGCCCTGCGAAGTTTACCGTTTTTCAGTCATTTTGTATTACGCACGGGAAATTGATACCGCTTCATTTTTATTGGCACCACCTACACTGGCACACAGACCGTTCAAAATTATGTAATCTCCATTTTCAGGGCGACAAGGGTGATCGTGGATACAAAGGACAAAAGGTGAGATAAGAATAATAAAATTTTAAAATTCTTCAATCTTGAGACATCCAATAAATAAACCAAATTGAGATGAAGCTTAGTAGGCTCCTTAGTACCATCCTTTTCACCAGAACATCTAAGTACTAATTTAGTTCAAATGTGTAAGGATTGACACACATATTGAGAATAACGTTTGTTACGATGTGACTCATATGAAAATGAGATTCAAACAGTTTTATAAAACCTTGAGTGTATATATATTGACCGTACGTATATAATCATACACAAGCAACAATACCATCTGGGCAATCCATGTTTGGAAAGAGTGGGCCGAATTAAGAAATAGCTCAGCCGAAGGTAACGCGCTATATAACGAAGATTTGTATGGGTTTGTCGAAGCAAGGATTCTAAATTTGGTACAACAGAGTTTTGTTTGGGTACGAATCTAAAAGCAAGTGGAGGGGATTTGATATCTCTACTATATAGAGAGAGAAAAGCGTGGAGTTAATGAAAATAGAATATTAATTGAATTGATGATCAAATATTCACCTGGCTTTATATATATAAGTATAGGTTATTTTAAGGCAACGAGGGGACATGTGATTTATTTACGGAGGCGCGCAGCCCCGAAGTGAATAAACACCAGGGCGCTATAAAACAGTGTTTTATAGCGCCCTGATAAACACATATCCCCGAGGTTATTTTTCACATTGCGAGGTCGCGTTAATGAGTCAGAATAGAAATAATTCTTAATGCCATATTGCCTTCATGATGTTGTTTTTTCTCATTTTTGTGCTGCAAAGACATTGCAGGTGAATACTAGAGGGGATTATTAGAGGGAAATTGATCAGTAGAGGGGAATATTGAATATATTCCCCGATAAGAACAAAGAAAACCAAGCAGGGTGAAAAATAAGTATATAAAACCCGGTTTTCCGGGTTTTAAATAGTACATAAAATATTGTGAATATTTAATAACCAATTCGATCAATTCAATAATTCTATTTATCAACCCCGCTTTTCCCTGTGGAGCTATCAAATTCCTTCCCCTTGCTTTTAGATTCTTACCCAAATAAGCTTAAAACCCAAAAGGGAACATTAGAAATCCGCAAAAATCTGCCATCATGATTTTGGGCCCACGATAGCAGAAGCCCGCAACAAGTTCTCGTTAATTGGCTCGTCCCTAACCAACGCGTCCCTGGCTAATTGTCGTTATTTTCGACAGTCGACATCGTACATGTTGAGGACAATATTCTCTCACTTGCCGTTTATGTTGATTTATTATATAGTAGAGAGTGAAATACTGAAAAATGCACAGTGAGATATTTTCCATATCTGGTAAAGATATCAATCACGTGACTTTTAGTAATTATACAATTTTTTACTTGGGACTATAATAACAAGACGCCTGCTCAAGGCGTTCGCTCCGTCGGTAAAGGGAAAGGGCAGCGGCAGCAACAGAATTATTTGCTTGGTGCAGTGGCGTAACGTTATATCAGGGGGCCCCCGGTTCAAAATTTTCGAAGGCCCCCTAGTAGAAGTGCCAAAGGCACGAGTCGAGCATCGTATATGCACAGAGTTTTCTAGGGGGTCCAGGGCATGCTCATCCGGAAAATTTTTGAATCTAGGCTCTCTGAAATGCCATATCCTGGACTTTGGGGAAAGATTTTACAGAATTCTGATGGTCAGAAAATAACATTGTAACATATCAGAGGCCCTGGCCAATGTTTTTGCTTTATCGCCTAAGCCTGGGGCCCCCCATTTGGCCCATTGGGTTTGGGGGCCCCCGGGTTCTCCCGGTCTGAGTCCATAGTAATTACGCCACTGGCTTGGTGTGATGTAGGAAGTTGATGAGGCGTGGTTAACACCTTATTAATATAATAATAATAACCTTGGTATTTTGGCAAAGAGTAACATAATACTATACATACAAATCTCCAGTACTAATTAATTATACTTGGTTTCGTCTACAGTATATATTATTAATATAGATCGTATACATGCAGTTCTACTTCAAATGTATAAATAGTGTGATATATAGTATCTGGTGTTCCATCAAATTTCCACTGTGTTTTATGTCAGTATTGTATTCTGCATGGGTTGAAAAATGTTTCTTTTAGGATAGAAAATGTTTCAAGAGAACTAGTTAGTAACAGTTTTCAATATTCTTCAGGGACATAACCAATAACCATCAATCCATTAATCATTATAATTAATGAAGAGCATAGCCGTTGATAACCTCCTGCATGATACCAAAGTAATGAGCAAAATGTCACAGATGACATAGTCATAGAGAATATGTTGCATATAGCAAACATGTGCAGGTCCAACATTACCGAATCATCAATAGCACAGTGAAATTAAATAAGGACCACGTCCATATTCATGTTGGCACAAATAACGTCGAATCGACGTTATTATTTTACCCTCCCACCCCAGATAACGTCGAACGGATCGATATTGAGTCGTATTTTGACCAATAAACGCACAATCATTGTATTGTACTGTCGTCATTGCCATTGGCTGGAATTGTATTTTAATACAATATTTAAATAGTGTACAACCAAGATATAACCGTTCTCAAAATTAAAATGTCCAAAATACGTGTCATATTCTTGTTGGTAGAAGTTGGCAACCAAGGTAAATTATAGCCTAAAACAATCGTTTTTAATAATAGTGACCTTCTTTACATGATATGTCGACTACTGACAGTCTACGAAATTAGAAAAATTATGTGCCTGTGGAGGTCCGGATCCCGTTAAACTTAGCCTTCTGCCTTCTGCATGTAGCCTATATAAGCGTAAAAATTTGGAAGCATAGAAGAAGCAGAATAGCATGTTAAAATCTTACAAGTTTAAAGCTTTCAACTGTCTTGGTGACCTATTAAAAATGGCCTTAATTTAACCTGATTCGTTCTTTCGTTGTTGTTGCACCAACAAAAAATACATTAATTCATAAAGAGTGAGTCCAGAGTACAACACAACCTGAAAAACACAGAACAATTTGGTGAAAATTTAGCGAAATTGCGTTAATTGCCAGAAATATTATTTGCCCACTCATCACGCAACCGCCATTTTGAAACTGAACTATATAGGTCACTGAGACACTGAAGCATACTTACAAAGTCGCGCGGGAGTGGGTACATTTCAACATGAGCTCCACCTTTGAATTTACTATATGAGTAAATTCTTAAACACGTCCGAATTTATCATTATGATAAATTCGCGGCACATATTGGATTTATCAATAGAGTTAATCATAAAACCACAATCATTGCACAAGGTTTCTCGTTATAAATTTAATGGCCCTAAAGTTTTTTAAAAAGATAGTTTTTAAAAAAGTTTTAAAAGAGTTTTAAAAAGCAAGAAAAGTTTAAAAAGTTAATTTTCAAAAAGGTTAAAGAAGTTAAAAAAGTTAGGGTTAGGGGTTGGTACATATTCAAGATTTTCAAAAAAATAGTTTTAAAAAAGTTTTAAAAAAGTTTTAAAAGAGTTTTAAAAAGAAAAAAAAAGTTTAAAAAGTTATATTTTCAAAAAAGTTTAAAAAGTTTAAAAAGTTAATTTTCAAAAAAGTTAAAGAAGTTAAAAAAGTTAGGGTTAGGGGTTAGTGGTCAGGGGTTAGTAGTTAGTGGTTAGGGGTCGGGGTTGTGGTTAGTGTTAGGTGCCGCGAATTTATTATTATGATAAATTCAACTGATGTGCCGCGAATTTATCAGAATGATAAATTCGGACGTGTTTAAGAATTTACTCATATAGTAAATTCAAAGGTGGAGTTCATGCTGCATAATATCCATAAAATACACCGATATACCTGGGGGGGTTTCTAGATATAGGAGATCTAGATTGCTAACGCATACCTAGCGCAGGTGGGGCCTACATGATAAATCCAAGATGGCGGTACA